CAGTTTGAGGGGGAATGTTAGAATATATTAAATATGATTAGTCTGTAATTATTATGATTAGATATGATTAGTCTGTAATTAATTCTGATTGTATTAGGTTTGTATTAGGTCTGGGCCTTTCACTTAAGCCCATTAGAGTCTCTATATATTGTAACCCTCTAAATTAGATCAATACACAACATATTATTTTATATTCAAGTCTGGCCATGATATAGGCACTTGCTGGCATTGTTTTGATCCAAACTTCATTCCAGTCTCTAAGCTCCCTGTGGAACCTCCTACACCATATCCACATGCTCCTCTGCACTCTCGGGCATATTCTCAACAAGCTCCACAGTATCCTATGGTCCCACCTCCATCACACTGGCCTCCGAATTCAGCTGTTGGTTCAACTCAGGTATCCAATTCAACTAATTCTTACCCGAGCCAACAGCAGCAATACTCACCCAACTCAGGTCACTAAGTGCTCCGAATCAGAATTTTCATGTTGGTTCGATGGACTCTCAACCTTAGCAGTCCTCCTTTCAAAGCAATGGTTCTACCCAGCATGCTCCAGCCCCACAGGATCTGCTCACAGGACCTCCAGAGTTGCCTGTACTCAAGAGGTTTCCCGATTCTGCAGCCACACACCGTGTGACCACTGAACTACAAACTATCTTGCAAAGTTCACAGTTATCAGGCTCGGATCAAGTGTTTGTGGGCAGTGGGCATGGTCGGTCCAACACCTCCATTCATTCAACAAGTTTTCCTTCAACTCTATTCCACTGAAACCACATACCACCTTACACTTATGAAATCTTCTTGCGCCCTCTATCACTAAAAATCTTGTCAGGGTTAGTAAGTTTGCTCGGGATAATTCAGTTCCATTGTAACTCTTGTTTTGTCAAATCACAGGACACTAGTGAGGTACTGCTGGAAGGTTATTTGGGATCTGATAGATTGTAAAGATTCTATGGCATTCAATTGCCTCAATCTCCAGTGGCTGCCTCTCCTGTTTGTGGGAAAGCAAATGTTAATCCTGTTTCTGTTGCAAGTTTTGTTCTGTTGTAAATAAAATCCCAGCTGTTCTATCTTGTACTTCTGCTACTTCTACAGCTTCTGTTCTAAGAATTCTACTGTAATCAGGACTGATGATGTACAAAGCACTTCCTCCTCCTACACTCTTTGGTACTGCAGGTTAGGTACCCTCACCATGAGGCACTCAACTCTGTAAAATGTAACATTTCTGTTGGAAATAAAATTGGTATTGGTGTCTGTCCAGCTTGCTGCATGGGGAAGGCACTTCACATTCCCTCTCATCCCTCTTCTTAAGTTTATACAGTTCCTTTTTCTTTAGTCTTTAGTGACCTTTGGGGGCATGCTACCATTATTTCTTCCCATACTCATACTACATTACATTTGTTGATGCTGCCACTTGATTTACTTGGACTTTTCCTTTAAAAACAAAGAGTTAAGCTCTAAATTCCGAGAAACAGTTTCACATCTTTGTCCAGAATCAATTTCATTGACTATCATTTCCCTCCAAACTGACTGGAGAGGTGAAGTTTGGCATTTCACACAGCTTTTGGCTAATATTGGCATAGTTCGTAGAATTATTTTCCCTTATACTCATCACCAAAAGGGTATGGTTGAAAGAAAGTACAGGCACATTGTTGAGATGGGATTAACACTACTTGCTCATGCCTCATTACCCTTCAAGTTTAGAATCATGCTTTTCTTGTTTTTTATTTCATCATCAAAATGGATGTGCTTGTTTTCCCCTTCTCCGACCTTATAATGGTCACAAACTTGATTTTAGGTCCAAGGAGTGTTTATTTCTTGGCTACTCATCTCATCACAAGGGCTAAAAGCATCTCAGTGCAGTGACTCTACATTTCAAAAGATATGTTTTCCAAATCTGTTTCCCTCTTCCACTACAAAGGCTCCTACAGTCTCATTATCTTGTCATATTTCTCTTGCAACTTCTTCTAAGGTTTGAAGTCTCACTCTATTTACTTCAGTTTCTTCTTCTCTTTGTGTTCCTTCTTCTAATAATTCATCTCCTTTACCTAATTCTAGTCATATTCAAGCTACACCTTCTTCAGCCACCAACAACACCACTCCTTCAATTTCCTTGCATTACTCACTTCCTGCTCCAGTGGGTTACTGATGGGCCTAAAAGTGAGAGAGTTAGTTAGTTAGGGAATTCTTCTAGAATATTCTTAGGAAATAGGATAAAAATAAAGGGAATGCTGGGAGTGGGGTATGCATGTATTGAGTGAATATTAGGGGAATTGGGGATCTCTTGGACCCTACGTTTGTTGGTTCTAAGGGTAAGCTAGTGGTCTTTTAGTGTATTATTCTGCAACTAGTGTTTGTAAGGAGCTTGTTCATTACTGTTTCCTTCAATTTACAATAAATAAAATTGGGTTCCATCAGTTCCTCTCCTATTTCCTTTTCCAGCCCAGCCAACTCTATTGCTAGTCCCGTCCAGAATTTCAATTCTCCTCTTGTTACCTCTTTTTCTTCTCCTTCCACTCCCACTCTATCCTCGTGTTCCTCTTCTCAATACAAATACCTGCCTTCTTCTGCTATTGGTTCACCCTCACCCACTCACTCCATTCTCACAGGTTGAAGACCACTGCCTGTACTGCTCTAGTAACTCATATGGACCCTTGCTCCCTTGCTTCCATCTACACAAGCCATTGGTTATATGCGGGTCTTTTGCATAAAGAAAATCCTCATAGTTCAATTCGTAAAAACCAAACTAGATTGGTTGCTAAGGGGTTTCATTAACAACTTGGTTTTGATTACAATAAAACCTTATCACCCATGGTAAAGCCTATTCCTATCCGTATTATGCTAACCTTGGCTCTAACAATTAATTGGCCTTTGCAGCAACTTGATATCAGAAATACTTTCTTAAATGGAATGCAGCATGAAGAGTGTAAAAGTTCCAATCTCTTGGCTTTCAATCATCCAATAAATCTCTTGCAAACTCAACAAAGCTTTGAATGGGCTAAAACAGGCTCCTAGAGCTTGATTTGAGAAGTTTGGTCACACTTTGCTAAGTCTTGGCTTCAAATGCAACAAGTGTGACCTACCCTCTTCATTCTTCACAATGCATCACACTGCATTTATATTTTGGTTTATGTTGATGATATAATTATCACATGTGCTTGTTCCCAACAGATCCAGCAGCTCATTGCTAAGCTTAATGCTGCACTGGCTTTGAAATGACTAGGCAATCTTGACTATTTCCTTGGCATTGAAGTGAAACATCTGGTGGTTGCACTTTTTATCACAAGCAAAATATAGTCGAGACTTGCTCTCTAGGGCTGGTATGCCTGAGGCCAACAGGATCTCTAACCCAATCCCAGGTGGTTGCAAACTTTCTATGCATGGGGCTGATTAAATGTATGATCTGCACTTGTATAGGTCCACTGTTGGGGCCCTCCAATCGGCTACTTTGACCAGACCGGAAATTGCCTCAGGTATTAACAGAGTTTGTCAATTTCTTTCCAACTTATTGAAGAGCATTGGAAAATTGTGAAGGGCATTCTTAGGTACTTAAAGGGTACTACTCATGGTTTGGTACTGCATCCTGCTGTCCCTAATCAGTCCAGAATATATTTATTAGCCTAGTGTGATGCTGATTGAGCCACAGACCCTAATGACATTCCACATCTGGTGCATGCTTGTTTCTTGGGCCAAATCTTCATTTCTTGGTTGTCAAAGAAGCAATTCCTTGTTGCTAGATCTAGTAGAGGCAGAATATAGAAGCTTAGATACCACTGCCAGTGCTGCTCAAATACTTTGAGTTCAGACCCTACTCCAGGTATTACAAAACTCTATGAGCAATGTAGTCAAACTCGAGATCCTACCTAAGATCGGAAGAAGGTGGAAAAATCGTAAATTGTGGAATCGGCACAAATCGTAATATACTACTACCTAAGATACAAAATTTTAATAACATACACTTCATTGTACTCTTATTTAACCTAAAATACTTTGATTCCAAAAGGCCCTCTCCACAACTTCAGAATTTACTCCCCCTCTCTTTCTCATCTCAGACTATTTTATGCACAAAAAACATTGCATAAAGACACTAACTCTTGGATGTTCCCAATAAGTACACCCAACACCAATGTAAACAGGTATGGACTCGGTCCTCTCAATGCAAACTTATTTTCAAAAAATTTGTTACTCCTAGCAAAAGCAGCCATCAAACTCAAATAATACTGATACTAATACTACTACTACAAAAACCAAAGGGAAAAAAAAGGTGGGCAAAATCCCGGTGCGCAAAGCTCCCCGACTTGCGCAGTTAGGGGTGAGGGTTGATTGCACAAAACTTTAACCTTGCATTTTTGCAAAGAGGTTGTTTTCCAGACTCAAACCTATAACCTTTCGATCACAAGGAGCAACGCCCTCACTACTACTACTAAAACTATTGATGATAATAATAATAATAATAATAATAATAAAGTTCTCTAGAAGAACTAGAATAATATTATTTCACAGCACAATTGTCAAAGAATTCTTACATCAAACATGACATAAACAAACAACAAAAGATTCATTAAAAACTACATAAGTTGGAATCATATTAGTTTAAATCACTGTAGTTATCAGCCTTCATATTAGAGTAACGGAGGAGAATTTTAAAAAAAATCTATAAATGCATACCAATTTTTGGTTCTATATCAGAGGAAACAAAAACTGTTTCATCTGGCTCCTGGGCAGCAAAGCTGACAAAATGTTCCTTCATGACTAAAAGGTCATGAAAGGGGCAAACCGGAGTAGTTGTAAAACTGTTCCTTCATGATTGAAAAGCCATAGGTTCGAATCCAAGAAACAGTCTCTTTGCAATTATGCAAGGGTAAGGCTGCGTACAAGGATTTCTTCCACCCCACACTCGCTAGTCGGGTTTAACGGGGAGTGAAATTTTTTTTTAGTTTTCAGCCTTCATATTAGAGTAACGGAGGAGAATTTAAAAAAAAAAATCGATAAATGCATACCAATTTTTGGTTCTATAGCAGAGGAAACAAAAACTGTTTCGTCTGGCTCCTGGGCAGCAAAGCTGACAAAATCATATACTTTCCCTGCAAACATAGTGACATGAAAATTAAGGCACTTGTTGCAAAGCAATCATATTCATATCATACAAACATAAAAAATTATATCATCTGCCAACTGGAGATCAAGATGCAGAAATTGAAAGAGAGAACACAGTATTGATGATGTCACAGTTGATTCATTTTATTTACCAGATGAACCCTCAAAGCTAGCCAGTTTTCCATCATTATGAAGGTTGAGAGACAATTCCTGCCCATCAATGTCAGATAACAAATCCTGCACAACATGACACACACATCAAGTAAGAGGTTAACAGCAATGATCAACATAACATCAAACAGAGGCTTTTCTACCATCAAATGGATTTTAACACAATAAAAATTAATATTAATAGAGGCCTGATAAAAAAGAAGTTAATAACTTATTGATGCCAGTCAATGAGTTAACAAGCAAAAGGATATCCAAACAAGTTCTAATTTTTATTTTATTACTTTTAACTTTGCTTGATATCACACTAGATTTTTCACTCTTATAATAATAATAATAATAATGATATTACTCCTTTGTTTTTTTTTGTTTTTTTTTTCATTTAGTTGGTAACAGTAATTGAGATTCAATTTAGAAGGAAGAAATAAAAAAATAACCATAAAGAATGAACTTACATTGGAAAAAGGCAATTTAAGGAGCCAAAGTTCGGTGGAGTCAGTCAAGTTAAGATCAACTAGTGCTTCATTACTGTCTTCCACGAATTCTGAAGGAGGCCTGTAACCTTCCACACTCTCTGAATCCACCATTGACATTGCCGCCTAAACAAATGTACACAATACATCAAGGTTACAAAATATACCTATATTATCCAAAATCAAAAGGAAACACAACAATCATTATTAAATAACAGAACCACTATATAACAAAGTCCATATAAGCAAAACTAAGATCATGTTTATCAGTAAATGCCCAAAATTCAAATACCGTTGCCAAGCGTAACTCATTTTACCATAAGAACATATTCTCCACGCTAGTATCAGAGCATTAACTATTGGGAATTCAGTATTACATGGATTATTATTCAGATTTGACGTTTCCCACACTTGGGAACACAAACTTGATCAAACAGGGACAGTGAGAAAGAGAAGTGGAAGAAGAGAATGCTTACTCGAAAGTCAAGAGTCAAGATGGTAGAGCTGAACCAGTCTCTGTTAAATAATGTGTTTACAAGAACAGCACATAGGGCAAAAAAAAACACCACCTCTGAGCCCTAGGGAGACAGCATCACTTATTTATTATTAAGAGAGAAAAAAAAACAATTAAAAGAAAAACAAGTGCCCTTCGACTCCTCAACCAAAAACACAACCAACCTCTAATTCTCGTGAGATTGGGCCTCACCGTTTTCTTTGTGATCTATTGCCTTCACTTTCCTACCTAGGGTTATAAACGGGCAGCGGCCTAACTGGGGCTACAGTCCAGCATAGAATAAGCGATGCTTATTTAAAAAATAAATTATAGGCTTTTTTTTTTTTTTATATGCCATCCTATGAATTATAGGGTGACTTATAATAAAATGAATATTATTTTAATTATTTTTTATTATTGAATGTTTAATAAATTTAAATATGCTACCAAATCTAGGATGGGATTCTTATTTTTTAAACTTAGGTCAAGTTAAATTTATAATTTGAGTCTAATAATTAACAGACCAGGTTAGTCTCATAATTTTTTACACAAATTTAACCTATTTAAGTGAAAGTTCAGCTCATCGGAGCACATTTATACCCTTATATCCTACCCGTAGAGAAAAATTTCAATAATACATGCCTATTGAATTTTTTAGTGGTCTCTCACAAACAAAAATTGTTTTCCTTATTATATCCCTACTCTTCTTTTCTTAACCATATTTATCGCTCTATTTGTGAGTGGGACACCAACATGGAAAAACTTCTCCTACCCCAGAGTTCCAAGTATTAAACCCTAATAAAATAGTTTCAGAAAAAAAATTGTTGTAAGGTGTCATTGTCTAATTTTTTTCAAAAAATAAATATTCTTTTTACTGAAAGATTAATTTTAAAGTGACGGTTAGAGTAGCAAATGGATTATTACGTGAAAAAGATAATACTATTGAAAGATAAATTGTAATTAATTAAAAAATAATTTCTATATAGCTTTTTTTGAGCCCGTTTGTTTGGGCTTCACAAAAAAGTAACTTTTATCTCTTCCTTATTTTAGAAGTATTTTTTATAAAAGTTAAAGCTATTTATATTTTTATAAAAATATTTAGTTTTTAAAAAAAAATATTTAACTTTTGACTTTTACTTTTCTTAAAAGTTAAAATTTTTAGCTTCTGAAAAAAAAATTAGCTTTTTTTTGTGACTCTTGCTTTCTTTAAAATCAGACACTCAAACAAACTAAAAATGAGAAGTATTTTTGTAAAAAAAAAGCTCCAACCTCTATCGTGTAAAAGTTAAATGGTACAATACATTAAAAAAAAAGCGCCCCAAAAAAAAGTGTCATTCATAATGTGGAAAATACTATTTTTGACAAAAAATATTGTCATAAAATCATATTATTTGTAAAAAAATTAAAGGTTTATTCTCTATAATTTAATTTAAAATAAATTAAAAACTTATGCACATGCGCACGTACACGTGTGTACTTACGTGTGTCTGTATACATACAAATATATATATATATATATATATATATATTAATTGAGCACAAAATTAATAGCCTTGATATTTAATAATAAAAGAAACAACTTCCAAATAAGAGAAAGCCAATCAAATTAATTTACCCCAAAAAAAGCCAATTAAATTAGGCTGATAAAAAAAATTTCCCAATAAAAAGACTTAAATAAATAAAGAGAAACAAATAAAAAATAATCACATAGATAAACACATACCCAACAAACCAGAACAAGATATGTAGATGCATACAACACCTATAAGTCAAATAAAATATATATTTTTTAATGAAGATTTTGAAAAGAGGCAATTTTGTCAATTAGACATAAAAAGTACAAAGAATAAAGGCTTACTATAATCTGCAAAAGTTTTGAGAACGATTGTGAGTGATGGATGGCTTCGAAAGTACGAGAAGTTAAGAAGGGAGCAGAAGAGTAGCGAAATTTGATGGAGGAAAGAAGGGCATGGCAAAAGAATTTAGGGTTAAGAAAAAAATGTGTTTGCCAAGTGAGAAGAAAAAAGATTGTGAAAAATTATAAAAATTAAAAAATATAATATTTTATTTTTAATAATTGACCACAAACCCATTAAACGAAGGTGGCAAGGACTGCAAGACCAAGTCAACACTCAGGTCATGGTCCATGATAAAGCCTAGAGAAGCAAGCTTCTTTATTCGCCCAACCAGTTTGAGGACGTGTGGTCCAACAGCCATGCTCTCAAACAAAATGTAGCCAAACAGCTCTTGGAGGTCTCATAGCGCTCAGTTCTCCCTTGCTTATCATCATAAAGTTCTTATAGATGCAAAATTATGAAAGGAGCATCCACATGCTCATGCTGAAGTTGTTGAACCATAGGTCACCAAGATCAAAAAGTCAAGTTTTGATGATTGCAAAGCACCAACTAGCTCAACACACTTGCACAACATACAAGGCATTGTAACAAACTCCAAATGAAGCTAGAAGGCTAAACCAATATGCAAAAGTGAAGAAATAACTTCAAAGTGAAAAGTCGACTCTAAAGTCAAAGATTTAAGTCAAACAAGGAACCAGAAAAACTCAAAACATGAAGACAAAAGAAGAATCCTAGGACTCTAATCGACATATTCAGTTTGTAATAGTTTAGTTAATCTTGGGAATTTAGAGATTTAACTTTATTGAGCTATAACTCTCAATGTTGCATTATAGAAGCCATAAACTCATGCATAAGTGAACTTTTATACATAATCCATTCATACATGACACATACACATGGAACAATGTTCGATTAATTCCAGAAGCATACATACATGTATGAAAAGTGAGTAAAAAATCATTTAGAAATCAACTGGATCGAATTTTGGGTTGTTGTGCTCAAATATCCCGATATCCATATCCGGATATTGATCTAGTCGCGTGAGTTAACTAAAAATTAAGAGTCTAACGGCTATCTGTAACATCTCGAGCGCTGACGAGGGCGGGGAATGATCGTCGGTGCGAAATAGCATGGACAAGGAATGGCTCCTAACAAGCTTCCAGCGGGAGGTTACATGCAAGAATTAATCGAATCGACACCCGAAAGAGAGGGATTCCAAAGACTGTGTAGGTATGAGACTGCACAATTTGGGATAGCTTATAAGAATTGATCGGTACTACCTATACAAACAAGATGCATCAGCTTTTCGGTAGCCCGGATCGGAAGAACTCCACAGTTAAGCGTGCTTGACTTGGAGCAATTCTGGGATGGGTGACCTCCTGAGAAGTTTTCCCGGGAAGTGTGCGAGTGAGGACAAAGTACGCTGAAAAGTCTCGTGTTAGTGTGTGGGGATAATCGTTGATGCTTGCAAGTGGTCGAGCGTTAGAAGTGGTATCAGAGCAGGGCCTCTCTTCTAGTACGGTGTGGTTCGAGGACGAACCAAGCGTAAGCTGGTGGGCATGTAACATCCCGAGCGCTGATGAGGGCGGGGAGTGATCGCCGGTGCGAAAGGGCATGGACAAGGAGCGGCTCCTGACAGGCTTCCAGCAGGGGGTTACATGCATGAATGAATCGAATCGACACCCGAAAGAGAAGGATTCCAAAGACTGTGCAGGTATGAGACTGCACAGTTTGGGATAGCTTATAAGAATTGATTTGTACTACCTATACAAACAAGATGCATCTGCTTTTCGGTAGCCCAGATCGGAAGAACTCCACAATTAAGCGTGCTTGACTTGGAGCAATTCTGGGATGGATGACCTCCTTGGAAGTTTTCCCGGGAAGTGTGCGAGTGAGGCCAAAGCACACTGAAAAGTCTCGTGTTAGTGTGTGGGGAGAGTCATTGATTCTTGCAAGCAGTCGGGCGTTACACTATCTATTCATTCAGACTCTTATATAAACATCCAATGAAGGTTCATAAATCGGGATTAACACAGAAACACTGATTTAGCTATATTTTGACATCCTTGAGAAAAAGCTCAATATTGTAATTGATTCTGGATTGTTAGAGAGACCCTATAGGTGATAGGTTGAGAGTGATCAAAGGGTTGATCACAGTTCTTGTAAAAATTCCATTGTAAAATGATTTTCTAGACATTTGGACATAGTGGAATAACTTTTTTTTTCAACAATGAGAGATTACTCCTCTACTTTTTTCGTGAATCTTGCTACTGTAATTGATTCTGGTCTGTTGGAGAGACCCTATAGGTGATAGGTTGAGAGTGATCAAAGGGTTGATCACAGTTCTTGTAAAAACTCTATTGTAAAACGGTTTTCCGGACACGGGTTGGAAGCTTTGGACATAGTGGAATAACGACATCAGTCTGCATGTAGCTCTCAAGTGGTTAGAGAGTGAACAGGATAAATCTTGGCATGATTTTTCCTTTCCCTTCATATCTTTTGATAGTGTTGCAATATCTCTGTTATTGTATGTTTCAAATTCATTTTTACATTGTGAAGGTTTGATTTCTGTTTAATTTCGTTTTGGGCTGATTTCTTAGTAAATGGGTTTATTTTCTTTGTTTCTCGCAAAACAAGTTAATGCATAATTCATCCTTCTTATGTTTCTGCATTAGCCATTTTTTCTTTACAATTGACCTCAGAACTTAGGTTCTCTATTATAGGTTTAATCACCTAGAGACAAATATCCATAAAATAGTTAGTTTTAACAATAATTTGCCTCAAGATGGTAGTTCAACCAATAGGCCATCTTATTTCAACGGTACCAATTATCCATATTGAAAATATAGGATTTAGATCTTTCTAGAATCCATAGACTTAAGGGTCTGGACAATAGTTGAAGATGGATATGAATTTCCTACCACTTTCGATGATAATGGTCAAAGGGTTCCAAAGAAAGTTAATATCTTTAGTGACGGAGAATTAAAAGAAGCTTAATGGAATACTAAGGCTAAGAATTTGATAACTAATATTCTAGGTAGAGATGAGTATTTTAGGATTTCATCTTGTAAAACCGTTAAAGACGTGTTGAAAGTATTAGAAACCACTTATGAAGGCACTAGTTAGGATTTGTAAAAAATGATTTACTCACATCATTACAAGATTGAATGCTTTAGGTATCCATTACAATGATGAGCAAATGATCAACAACATTTTAAGGTGCACGACCAAGGAGTGGGATGCCAAGGTTTCGGCCATCTATAAATCGAAAGACCTTGACACAATGCAAATTCCTAAACTTTTTAAAATGTTCTAAGAATATGAATTTGAGATGAAAAAGCATGATCTAAGGGATCAAGTGTAACAGCCCATTGTACACCGGTATTGTTAACATTAATTATGATATTAAGCGCAG